GGTTTGGATCGGATCGGGGAAATTTTGCGCATGTAAACGTAGCTAATGTCTTGGTTCTGTTAAGTTTTCTTTTGAGTATTCAGTTTTACTTTGATCCATGTTTTCTAATTTTATTGGTTTAATTCCTATTTTGTTGTGTTTTCTGGATGTATTTGAGTTCTTAGGTTTTTCTTTGTCGCCCTCTTGTGTTGGTCTCGTTTTCCCTAGCTCCCTTCTAGAAGCCTCTCTTCACACCTGCTCCCAATCAGCTCATTAGTCCTGTCCTTGTTCAGTCTCCCTGTGCAGTTCCTCAGTGCTGGTTCCTCGTCTTTCCCCGGCTCCTCGTGCATGTTTTCCCTGATGTCTCCATGGTTCTGGTCTGTTTGTGTTTTTGTGTTGGATCTTCGGATTCCTGCCCCTGCTACCTATTGAGAACTCCATTAAAACTACAAGAACTCATCTCTGCCTCACCGCCTCTGCATTTGGGACCTCAAAACCTCAACCAAAACCTGACAGCCACCTTCTCCACTTGCACATGCACAACCCTGTATCCTCTCCTGAGAGGGGACGCCTATTAAACGCATGCAAGAGCATGCATGAGCCCATTTCTCCTCATGCAAACTCTGTTTAAAAGTTGCTTTTCTCATAGCTCATACAGGCTTACTGTGTCGGAACGTGCGCCCTAACCCCTAAATCCCTCAATCACCATATAGAGCGGGGACTATATAATGGAATTTATAGCGAACTCAGTTAACTGACCATTTGGACAGATGATCACTACTTTGTGCGCCGTTGGTCATGTAACTCCTCCTCCACCACGTGGCGCCCGCGCCATCTTTTTTATTAGTTGTCGCTAGTGGGTAGCGGCAGGCTATGGTGACAGCAAATCCCATGATGCTTTGTGAGGAGAGCTGTCCATGCAAAGCATTCTGGGATATATCTGCCTCTTCTGAGGCCTTTCTTTTCTTCTCATACACTTCGTAGACACTTACGACCGTCGTCCATTTTCAAAGAACCGCGGTGAGAAAGGTGAGCTTCAAAGACTCTCTGGAACTGTAGCTCACCACAGATATACGCCTGAAAGTGCGAATGCGCAGAAAAAGATAGCTAACGGGACGAGCACGTAGGACGGCCTTACGTAAACAGATTACCAGAATGATTGACAATTAGGAGGACCACTTATTTAGATGATCCAAACAGAAATAAAATATCTTTAAGCATCCAGGTAATGAGGCTGATGATTTTGCAGTTCTGCAGCCGATGACCCAATCTCTGCAGCAGCTCCAGGAGAAGCCCCCCTGTTGGAAAAACCCAAGGATAAAAAAAAAACCCAGCCACAGATACTCCCTGACAATATGATTTTCTGCAAATCCAACACTGTTCTCTACACAGGAAAAGCAACCAGCTGGAGAAGCAGCTGCTCAATGCGGAGATAAATTCAAGCTCTCCAAAGGAAGAGTTAATCTGCAAACTGTTGCAGATTCAGGAAATATGCAGATTTAGCGGAGATGTGAGCGGAACATCATCTCCTCTCAGCGCCCTGGTGTTGTCCAGATTACAAATCATCCCTCCCCGAATCATCTGAGATAATTATCTTAAATCCTTCAGGCAAAAACAACAGATGAACCAGACGCACAAACAGAAATACAATTACCTTCATCTGAGTTTCCCTAAATGTCATAAAGACCACCTCTGCATGTTTTAAATTATAAATATATTTTAGAAAAGATCAAGAGAACCAAACCAGACCCAGGTTTGGAAAAGGATTATAATCCTTTTATTGCTCTAACAGACCTCCAGATCATAATGACCCTGCTTTGCTAACAGGGACTGACTTTCCAGCTCTTTAGGATAAACACTTTATGTTGGAACAAATTGAAATGAAGGAAAAGACTGAATAAGAAATTCATGCGACCTTTATTCTTGTGCAAGTTTCCCTCATGCACAATCAAGCTGCACGGTCACCTTTAATCAACAGGAGTTTTATTGCCCCTGCAAACATTTTTAACGTGTTTTTAACCTGGAAAAATGTGGAAATGTAGAAAAAAGTGTGATTACTTTTCCAAATCGCAGTGTATAAACTGCATGACCAGAATCCCCATGAGATCCATTCACGGTTTGTCCACATTCCCACGCTCAGACTCATCTGATATGAAATCAGTAAACATTCTCTCCCTCCTTCCGCCTGTTTAACCTCAGACCACAAAACGTTGTTATTTCAGGGGGACATTGTCATATGAGTAACTGCACCAAAAGTAAACAACATTTCTCCACTCCGTGGTCACACTTTGACATGATAGTGCCGCTCAGTAACACGACTAAAGAAAACTACAGTAATTATGTGACTGGAGGCAGATTGTCTGGAGACAGTGAAGGCAGAAAGGTAAATTTGGCACAAAGCATCAACAAAAACAATGAAAACATCTACTTTTGTCTTTGACAACCTGCTATTTTCATCTTTTTTTTAGGATTTTCAGTCAGGATTTCTAGAGGAAAACTGGAAATGATGAAACAGGACTAAAAACTTTATGGCATCAGTACATTTATAGGCTTATTTAATTAAATCAAGGTTAATTTAATGCTTCTATATTGTGATAATTCATTACATATGATATTTCTTTTGCTAAATCTGTCTGCAACAGCAGAAAAAAATAAGAGTTCCCTTCTAAAGGTCACACAGAAAACAAACACAAGATCAGTTATAAAGATTTTAATCAAAAAAATACTTTTTTTTTCTTACATTTTGGCACATATCACATGTTTGGTCTCGCTGTATTTTGGCTTTTAACATGTTTCTGGAGCATAAATATTGAGTGGATGAGCGATCGTCATGCAGGAACGACCATGCCTACCGTCCGCTGGGAGCTACAAGTATGACGGAGTTTTTTCATGAAGGATAAGGATCAGGTCGACCAGCATGCTGTTTAGTGTTGCTTCAGATAAGATGTGAAAGCTTCCAGCAGCTTTCATGACGACTTTCAGGAGTCCTGTTAGTTTATATCAAACGCTACTTTCTGAACATTTCTGCAAAATCTTGTTTGTTTAAAACATGTCTGGGGATTAAATTTATCATAGAAATGCAGGAAGACTATAATAAAATATAGATGCATCAGGAAAAAAAAAAAAAAAAACAGGTTCCAGCCGGCCGGTTTGCATAATCATTACCAAAGGAAGACTCTTTCTATCTTGGTGGCTGGTTCAAACAGTTAGTTTCTTCTTACTTTGGGTAAACCTTATCTGACTTTAGGTTAAGGCAACACAAACATAACATTACACATCAGGAACTGCATATCCTTCTATCCTGATTTTGCCTTGTTTAGACCCCCATCAAACCAAATCAGTGTAAAATATCACAACATATTACAGAAGTGAATTAGATTTTAGGTAATGGCAGAATCACACTATATGCTGATGACTGTGTGAAATACAACCCAGGATCTAATTAGGAAAGAAAGGTGAAGCCATTTAACATTAGGCATCTATTTTAATCTGAGTAGCTGGAATAATTACATCCATCCATGTTCCGTCACGATTATCCCTGCTGGGGTCGCAGGGCTGCTGGTTTTTTTTCTTGGATTGAGGCGGTAAAAGAGACATTTTGCCAATGGAACAAGACAATTTACACTTAAAATAAGAAAATACAATTGCAAGGTCTTATTTCAAGTGCATATTATCTAATTATCTTATTTTAAGAGTAAAAATACTCATTGCATTGGCAAACTATCTCCTTTACCTGCAAATTAAGGGTAAATACACTTAATTTAGAAAATTTTTACTTATTTCTAGATCGTTTTTCCAGTGCACTCTGGACAGGTCGCTAGTCCATCGCAGGGCAACACAGAGACAAACAACCATTCACTCACACCTAAGGAGAATTTAAATAAGCCAATTAACCTAACAGTCATGTTTTTGGACTGTGGGAGGAAGCTGGAGTACCCGGAGAGAACCCACGCATGCTCAGGGAGAACAAGCAAACTCCATGCAGATATTCCCCGGGCCGGGAATGAAACCCGAAACCTTCTTTCTGCATGCCCACTGCGCAGCCTGCTATAATTACAGATTATTTTTAATGGAATTTTGCAGAGTTGGAAAAATCTAAATTTATTTTAAATACGTTTTTCATCATAAGATGGAATTTATATAATATTTGCACATTAAAAAGCTAATAGTATCCAATAGATCTACTTCATCAGATTTCAGCAGCACTCGTACAGCTTAGGTGTCTCCCTCTTGTCTCTACCTGTTTTCAGATCCTCTCACCAGAAAGGAGACAGAGCAGGAAATAAAAAGCCTGAACCAGAAATAGCTGAGTGTGCCTTCCTCTCAGGGGAATCCTTCCTCCCTCAGCCTCACATCTGAGCACACAGAGAGCATCTCCATCAGAAAAAAAACAGAAAAAAGGAAAGGTTTGCAGAAAGTATCCTGATTATCTACCTGTTGGGAAGGTTTTAAGTTAAGGTTTCAAACTTCCTTCAGTCTTTATCTGCTACATTCTATGATGGAGGTCTGTTAATGAGGACATTTGTTTCCTATTAAGTTATTGGCAGTGATTGTCATGCATCACTGCTTCTTCTTCCTCTGCTTCAGAGCCTTCCTCCTCTTCACTATCATCTCATACAGCTTGTCCATCCCTTCATCCAGTCCCTCTCCGATGATGGCGCAGGCCGGCTGGACGTGGTAGGGGGTGGAGGGGCTGAGCTCGGACAGGGCCAGCTGCTTCTCTATCTCCCCCACCTCCAGGGCGCGCGGCAGGTCCTGCTTGTTGGCGATGACCAGCAGCGGGGTCCCCTGGTTCTCCTGGAAGCGGGTGATCCGGTGCAGCTCCGCGCGGGCCTCCTCCAGCCGCTCCGAGTCCACGGAGTCCACCACGTACACGATGCCGTCCGTGCAGCGGCTGTAGGGTTTCCACAGGGGCCGCAGCTTCTCCTGGCCCCCGACGTCCCAGAAGTGGCAGCTGATGCCCCTGGAGGCCCCGGGGCCACCCAGGCGGATCCGCTCCGTGTTGAAGCCGATGGTGGGCACCGTGTTGACGAACTCGTTGAATTTCAGCCGGTACAGAACCGTGGTCTTACCCGCAGAGTCCAAACCCAGCATGACGATGTGGAGGGACTGGAAGGCTGCCAGGCTGGACAAACTGGTCCCCATCTTACAGAGTGGGAGAGATGGGACCAAGATCCATGAGGGGGAGAAAAAGTGTGGAAAGGACTCAGCAGAGGAGGAGGGCGCAGCCCCTGGTTGCGCAGCGACACCCCGGCAGCCGCAGCATCCCTGGAGTCGCTCCAACTGCAGCTGAGCGCAAAACGTTTCAATCAGCGCGCAGATAGCGGCGCAATCACTGCGCACACCGCTGCTCCAAATGCGCAAAGTGTCCCCTCCTCATCATCATCATCAGCATGCCTCAGCATTCCCCAGCTAACCTTCATGCGTGGGAACATAAACACACCACACTGATGCTGTGTGACGCGTGGACCAAGTGAGTCAAGTTCAAACAAAACTTTATGTCACGTCGCATCCGGTTGGAATTTCAAGATAAAAGCATTTTGTAAGCATCAGTCTTAACTTGAAAAGTTCCGCCGCTGCACTCGTTAAGCCTGTGCGCAGCAGGCTGTGAAACACTGCCCTCTGCTGTCCATTAATTACAACTACAAGCGAAGATAAATACTTTGGATTTCATTTGATAAACTATAATCATTTTAATTATTAGTTTTTTTTTATTTTAAATAGAATAAAATATTTATTAAGCTTCAAAAATGTCAGTTTTATATTTGTATTTTCAACATATTCTTTAAAAAAGGCTGCTGAGTTTTTCCCGCCTCAAATTTAGGGACTGATTCTCTCTGATAGCTACACCCAGATAATAACATAACTTATTACACATCAGAGAAAAGGATAAATTTGGAGTTATGTTTCATTAAACACAAATTACAATTTCTAATTTCAACTATCTTTAGGTTAGGGCTGAAACAATCAATTCAATTCAGTTTATTTCTATAGTAATTCACAACACACGTCATCTCAAGGCACTTTAGAGTTCACCCGATCATACAGTCAATTTGATTCAAAGTTTTCTATCTAAGGAAAATCAAATTAAGTCCTGCACACTAAGCATGCTTGTAGCGACAGTTGAGAGAAAAAACTCCCTTTTAACAGAAAGGAACCCTTCAGCAGAACCATCTGCCGAGGCCGACTGGGGTTCAAGGAGACAGAGGCAGAGATAGAAAAGGCAACTTTAAAAGGCGGCCCCATCCAGGAAACACAGCCAGGCAGACGAGCTCCCAGCCAGCTACCATGTCAGAGGATGAAGAGAGCACATCCAGTTAGTCACAGTCATGCATCAAAGTCAGATTTCTGAAATCAAATAAAAATACGAACAAAAAAACTCACAGAATTTATTTTAGGAATAAAAAACAAAACCCAAACATTAATATGAAACTTGTTGTTTGAGTTGCTTCTAATCCTCCGACTGTAAATGGAACTGAGTGATATGCTGTTCGAGTAGATTACCACTAGATGGCAGCATAGAACCACTAACAGAAAATGTTTTTGCTTAAACCTTATTTTTCTGTCATTTTTCTCCATAAAGTCATTTTCAGATGCAGAATCCAACCAGGTTGAATTTCCCAAATAAATCCCATCAGGTGTGTTGTCGATTTTTACCGCCATTTTAAATCAGACCTCATTATGTAATTGCTAATCATGGATATTTGATTGCATTTCTTCTTGATATTTGATTCAAGTCACACATTTTTCAATATTTTACTTTTCAGGAAAAGTAAAGAAAAAAATGTGTACAAATTGTTCATATCAGCCGTCAGAACAACAATTCAATGATCTCACAACCACTTCAGTCTGTAGTTTCATGCATATTCATTAATTTTCTTCAATTATCTGCAGTAAGTAAAAAAAAAAATCTACTTCTAGTAAAAGACTCAAATACTTCCAGTGCATATTGGAACAACTGATAATGAAATTAGAATATTACAGAAGGGGAATTTTTTTCTGCCATTCAGATTAAAAAGTGAAACTAACATTTATGTGTATTTCTGTTTATTTCCATTTATTTGGATGATTATGGTTTAAAGGCAATTAAAACTCAAATTTGAATATTAAATGAGACCAATGAAGGGATTTCAAAGCAGAGATACTGAGCTTCTGAACAGTAAGTCAATGTGGCTAACAGCACAACCTCACTAGTTGTTTGGGGTGATTTTCTGGATCAATGGAGTTTGGCATGGAGGAGATCAGTCTGTGGTTCTGCTGCCATGTTCAGGAAACTCAGGGTGCTTAAATAGTGACGCTTAAGCTCCTTTGCATGGTTAGTTTGAGTCAAAGGCTCATTGTATTTTCTAGTCTCCTACCCTGCTGCTCTTTGTCCTGTCCATTTTCCTCATTGTCTGGCTGGGAGTCCTTCCTTGGAGCAGAAAACCTTGGAGGAAACCGACCCGGAAACCATATTAGTCTATGCTGCACAGCTGGAATAAGCTCCCCCTTCTCTTCATCAAAACATTATTTAAATACTGCCTGGTGATGCAAATGCTCATTATTTCAGGCTTTGTAAATAAACCTACAACATCCAGACTGCTTTGTGTGTTCTGGCAATTTGGGTCATAACCAAACCTTAAAAATGACACTAAATATTCCCCAAAATATGGAAACTATCAAGGTTGTACCTTTGTTTTACTTCGGTTCAATATGCTTGTATACAGGACTCAGTGGGCAGTCAGATTATTTAGCAATATTGTTTTTTCTGCTGTAGTTTGAAAGATAAGATGACATCACGGTCTTGGGTGAAGAGGGAGGGGCTGAGCACACAGCCCTGCGGTGTGCCGGTGTTCATGCTAATGGTGTCAGTAATCAGGCTGGAGGTTTGCTGGTTAGGAATTCCACAGAGGGGTGGAGACAGCATGGTTTGTGACTCTCTGAACTAGTTTGTGGGAGTTTTGCCAAGTAGAAGGTGCTGCTAAAGTCCATAAATACTCTGATTTAAAGTTGTAGGGAAGTAACTGTTCCAACAGTTGCAGTTCCATATTCTCCTGAGTGGTGCCCGATTTAACACTAGTGAATAAAGTGAATGTGATTGGTTGATTATCAAGGGGACGGGATTGTTGTGGCGGAAGGTTCGCAAGCAAGTTTGGTTGTGGCCAGTTTGTTGGAAGCATCTTGCTAACCAGTTAGCAACTTAGTGCTAGGTTCCAAATAGTAAATTCCATTGGGACCAAGTAGCACTAAATTGGTGACTTAGCAAAGACACTGTCAAGGAACGCTATGGACAGCGGAAATATGCAAGAGGAGGAGAGTTTAGTGTCGGAGGTCATGGACGAAGATGTTGTGGAAGAGGACGCCAGGGTGGCAGAAGCTTGGTTTGGTGTAGAAGGCTTCCAGCCGTACATGTTTGAGCCCTTGCTTCGCAACGCTGCCAGTTCTGTTAGCTCTACGCCTGCTGAAGACGTCCATCCCCGTGGACACTGGGACGGAACTCAATGGGAAAGGAACTGATTCTTATTTCAACCGTTGCGTATATTAGCTGCGACATCAAGATGCAATGACCGAAAATATTTGATTGACAGATGACCGTTGATATATGATTGGCCGAATTTAGGTGTTCAAGCTGACGTAGAACTAACTGGCCTGCAGAAGATAATGGAAAAAAAACAAACACAGATTTTAAGACAGGATTAAAAAAAATAATAGTAAAAAAAGTACATTTATATATATGTTTAGGCCAGAATGATTTAAAAACTGAACTGATATGTGTCTATATATGCGGAATGCTGGCTTCACATTAACCCTTTATAGGGCACTCAGTGAAATCCTTAGAAAATCCACATTTCAAGCCAATAGTGTTATCGGAATCAAGGACAAGACCTTTTTACTTTTGTAACGTTTTGATGGCAAAAATAAATGTTAATGTAATAACAAGAAACGCCAACTTGCCCAAATATATTAAGAAAAATAACAAAAATAAGTGCTTCTATAAGAAATTCATGACAAAGTTTGAAAGAAACACATTTTTTTTGGTACAATATAACCTTAGAGGCATTAATGCTGATACTGGCACTTTAATTTTTTTGTTTATAAACCAAAATATAATTGTTAACTAGACTTATTAACTTTACTTTCCAATTAGCTTTTTACATTTTTTCTTGTCTTGTTTACTTTTTTTTCAATTTCCAGTAGGTAATATATCATTCAAGGGCTCATCTAATTGGTCAAACGCCAAAATAAGAATCACAGCCATGTAGGAGTATCTGTGCTGAATGGCTGGATATAGATCTTGTGCTTCTAGACCTCACTGAGGGAGGGAGGGGACTCCTTTTGTAATGGGTATAATAGTGATCAGAAATGTTAACTTGCCCTATAAAGGCTGGATTTCTATACATTTGTAAAATGTGAAATGCTGCTGCTGCTGCTAAAACAGAAAGTAGATCACATCTTTTTAATTTTCCTGCAGTTCCCGTTTTATCAGGGTCTGCTGTTAATTTAATTATCGGATAAAAGGACTGAAACAAATGGTCTAATTATGCAGAATAAGCGCAAACATTTGTTCATCGTTTAGGAAACAGCAGCGTAAGCAGGAGGACGACGGATATAAAGTCTCTGAACAACAACCTGAGTCATGGCTGATTGTCCTCCATTGGCATCGATTCCTCTCCTAATCAGGGTGGGTGTGAGATCAATGAGGGGAATTAGAAACAGGCTGTTAACAGCCAAACACTGACTCTAAATTATTAAGATCGCAATTCACTGTGAGCCGAATTGATGTCTACTTGACATAAACCAAAAAAAAAAGGAAATTATTCAGTGTGTTGAAGAAGTATTTAACCTTTTTAAAGAGACGGATCTCCAGGAGAGGTGATAACACTTTATCCTTCAAAGCCCCCAGCTGACAGGAAAGTGGAGATAATCACAGAGTCTAAAGGTTTCAGAAGCTGCTGGAGGCCCGAGACGTGAGAAAAAGCAGATGAAGGGCTTTTCCTTTATCCATCGAGAAGACCCTTCTGGAACCTTCCTGCCCTAAAACACCAGATGAAACGCGGTGACCGCTTGTCCCCGAGCTTTTCATCCCACCACCTGCTCTGCATTTTCAAAAGCAGCTTGAATTCATTAATGAGATGAGGAAAGTAATGTTCTCACTGTGATCTGCTGGGCAGGACAGAAAGCTCAGACTCTCTCTGTATGCGTCTGAAAAAGGTTTGTTTCTGTTGTATTCAACTCCTCCAAATAAAGAGACGCTTCAGGTGTTTGAACAATCTAACCTGCTTCTGATTCTTTGAGGGAAAGTGTTTCAGGATCTGAAGAATGAGCTGAATTTTTGGTGCCTCCTTAAAGAGATCGTGAGATTGAATCCAGGAGCCTAAATATATTTCAACTAAAAAACTCACGAAGAGAAAAGACAATTAGAAGAAATTTATTGATACAATTACTTGGTCTTTGGTGCTCAGACCTCTGCAGGAAACATAGCGTTGAAT